CGTAAACACCCCGGCCTGGCATAAAAATTTTCCGTTTCCGTCTTAACTTCTGTTTCTTATCGCGGCCTGACATTCCTCTGCCAGCCCTAGCACTCTTCGTTAGGCAGATAAAATTAATACCACTCTGAGCGAATCCCGCGAGCCTGCCAAGTTTCGCCTTTTCTAGGTCAAATTTTGTGCTTCTTAACCCGGCCTCCTGTACTTCTTTCTCCTACATGAACTATTCTGGCATTGTGAGTGTAAAAGAAGGGGAGCAGCGCGATCGCATGAGAACACATCAGTGTATTAGCAGAGTTTGCAGTTTTTGTTTTACTTGTTTCCATTTCATTCGCTATAGTCAATCGAATATTTATTTCAATAATCAGGATTGCAGCTGCGATGGGCAAATCATCCGACGCACAACATCGAGATGAGCGCATACAAGAAAGCTTTGAAGGAAGTGAAACCACTCGAAAAAAATGAAAATCTTGATGTCGACTACTAATTAAAAATCCTATTTTGGCCTCCCCAACTTGGGAAAGTTACTATTCGTAAACAATAAAAGCATACAAACAACCAGAATTTTAACAAATGAAATGCAGAAACTGTGAAGCTAAGATGAAACCCAGTCTGGAATGCACCAGGCGAGCCGGTACGATCAAGCGTTTTTGCACCAAACTTGAACTAATTAGGTTAACTGCATAAATGGTTGTTTTTTCACACCAACCTTGTGCGCTCAATATCGTAAATCATTGTAAATTTTGCATAGACGGAAGTAAGCAATTTCCGTTTAGCGGCCGTTTTTTTACGCATTTTTGCTGTGCTGCTACAGCCCGCATATTGTCGAGAGGCTGTGTGTGTGTGTGTGTTAGGAAAGCGTATGCATTTTGTCACCCACTTTCATTTCAGTAACCAAAAAAGCTGGGAGGCTGAAACTTCGGGTATACTTTTCCACCCCGTGTGTCATCCACCCGTTTTAAGATCTTTCCCCACACGCGCCTGGATCCCGTGTACAGGCCCCAAAAAAATATGTTGACGGGAAACGACTTCGCGAACCAGGCAAGGTAGAAAGCTGAAATTTTGCAGAGATATTCCCCATGCACGTGCGAGCTGAAGCTTTTAAACTCAGCTGTCGAGCACCTCAACCACAGCCTCGAGCAGCTCCTCAACCCAAAGATCGTTACGGAATCCATCGCAACTCGGGCCCGAACCGCAATCGTATGTGTGAATGAATATTAGTTAATTTGCATACATGGTTTTTATGAAAAATGACCGCTCGAGCAATACTTCCACTTTTTAGTGGACTGGAAATTTGCATTTTTTCAAAAAATT